GATAACGACACACTAGAAAACGTAACGCTACACCGAACAGAACTAATAAAATTAAAAAATAAACTAGAAGAATTAAATAATAATCTACAAGACAACGAACAGAACTTCTTTGTTCAAAAACAATTTGTTTATCCAATGGCTACAAGCGGAATCATAACAATAATTATAATAGCCATTGTAACATATATAATTATAAAAAATAAAAAGAGGAGAATGAAACGACCATCGGTCAGGATATACGATGAAGAACCACGTATATCCTACGGACTCCCAAGACCTATACTAAAGCGTAGTCTAAGTACGCGATTTTAGATAGTAAGAAACGATTATAACAAATATTATATACGGGAAAAATAATGTATTCGTTAGAATAAGAAAGGGTATAACTAAAGAAAAACGTTGTACCCCCGTTTTTCTTTTTTCAACGGGGGAGGGATGTTATAGCCCAAAACGGCTATAACCAAATTAGCATAATTATTAATTATTAAATATTATTTAACGTCTTCCGACTATAACTCGAAGCCGAGGAAGACGTATAAAGTTACGAGCGCAATCGCTGACAAAGCAAGCCACGCGCGGAGGCCACGCGTTCGCGAGACTCGAAGAACGATACGCCGGAAATGCAAGCAAAGAATATACGTAGCTTGCATCCGGGGTTTTTCCACCCAAAATCGAGCGACACGACCACCTATGGTCCTGTCGCTAAGCGATCTCCTCCAAAAAACTAATCGAACAGGAGGTGATAAAACTACCCACCTCGAACGAGCGCTAGGCAGTCCTAATCACAAAATCACACGAACCAGTTATAATCATACAATTACGTAGTGCGAATAAATTAACAATAGCATCCACGAGACAGACTAACGTAAATGATTTAATAATAAAGAACGTCCCAGCTGATATCAGGCACGCAAAGTAACTCTATACCGCGATAAGCCAAGTTAAAGTGCGCAAAGGAAAAGAAGAGTTAAAGTCGATGTAACTAAATAAATGATTTTTATTCTACTCAAACTACATATTTACTACAACGGCGGAACGACCCTGCGCGATCCCGAACTCCTTAGTTCTAATTTGGCCAACGATCCCCAAAAATTCGCTGTGCTTCCACGAAGGCACAACAAATTGTTTGAGAGCAATGCATTCCGCACATGAATGCAAAAGTAAATATTCTTGTCGGGTTTGTCACAAGAAGCATCATTCGATGCTACACGTTGACTCGGATTCTAGCTCAAGTGCATTGAAAAATGCACAGTCTAATTGCTCGTCGCCTCAAGCGTCGGATACGACGCCGGAGGTAAACTCGTTGAGCGCTTCAACCGTAACGCGAAAGCGCTCACCCGTCCTCCTAGCGACGGCCTGGGTAACAGTTCGCAGTCCGTCGGGCCGCACCGCTGTCGTTCGAGCTCTCCTCGATCAGGGCTCGGAAATGACATTCATTTCGGAAAGTTTAGCGCAAATCTTGCGCTTAAAACGAATTCGCATGCCGATCTCCGTTTCCGCCGTCGGCGGGATAAACGCGGGGACTTTTCAACACGCGACACACATATTTATTTCTCATCGAGAATCTCTCGCTCCGTCGCTTTCAACCACTGCGCTCATTCTAAAGTCGCTAACCTCTTACACTCCGAGAAGACACGTGGATCTCTCGTCACTTTCTTATCTCTCCGATTTACCGCGAGCAGATTCGGATCCGACGAGTTCCGATCCGATAAATCTCATAATCGGAGCCGATCTCTATAGCGATATCATTCGCGACGGTATTCGCAGAGGAAGCGTCGGGCAACCCTTCGCTCAGAATTCCATTTTCGGATGGATAATATCGGGACCTCTCACATCGCTCGAGAGTAACGATCCCTCTCAGTCGACAATGACTTCCGTTCATTGCACTCGCGGTAGCATTTCCGCTCATCACACAATAAGCTCTCCCTCTCTCGAAGAGGAACTTCGTCGCTTTTGGGAGGTCGAAGAACTCCCCCGACAAACTCATCTCACACCGCACGAAAAGCAGTGTGAAGAGCATTTTCGCTCGACTCATTCTCGCGACTCAAACGGACGGTACATTGTGCGGCTACCGTTCAAAAGGGGTCCGCCGATTGACATCGGAAATTCAAAACTTCGGGAGGAGAAAATGCTAAATTCGTCACTCCGCGAACTTCTTGATAAATCGGAGCTCGCGACAGAATATCGCGAATTTCGCGTGATATAGATTATCAACGGATCTTGTGGAAGTCATCGCTGTCAGAACCGCTCATCGATTATCAACTACTAACGGTTACGTATGGAATGTCATGTGCTCCGTTTCTGGCCCTTCGGGTATTAAAACAACTAGTCATCGACGAGGGCCAGCATTTTCCGCTTGCTGTTCCTATCCTAAGCGATAATATTTACGTCGACGACTTACTATTCGGAGCTGACGATACCATTCGAATTCGGCAAGCGCGCGATCAATTAAACTCTATGTTAAAGCGCGGCGGATTCGTATTACGGAAATGGGCGAGCAACTCGCCCTCTCTTCTCGAGGACATCGAAATCGCAGATCACGGTCTAGCCACGAACAAACCTCTGTCTGAAGACGAACAAATCAAAATCCTCGGAATCGGGTGGAGTCCGGCAAACGATATTTTCGAGTTTCGCGTGTCGCTGGCTGATAACGCCCCGGAAACAAAGCGTACGATCTTATCCGCGATCGCAAAATTCTACGATCCGCTTGGGTGGGTCACTCCGGTCACGATTACCGCAAAAATATTTATGCAGCAACTCTGGCGACTTAAAAGCGGTTGGGATGACGCGATTCCCGAGCTACACATCGTAAAGTGGAGAGAAATCTATTCTAGGCTCTCATATCTCAATAATTTGCGAATAATACGCTGGATCGGTCGCGGATCGGATACAA